AGCCGGGATCGCCCGTGCAGGGTTCGGGCTCCGCGCGCTGGCGCTGCCGCACTGCGCCTGCACAGAGCGAGCTGTGGCCGCGCCGGGGACCCGCGCCCCACCGTCCTCAGTGTGCCGGCGCGTGTTCCCAACAACGACCCGGGCCAATACTAACGCACATACGGACCCCCCGGTTCATGTCCACCGGAGTCCAGGAGACCCCAGAGAAACTGCTTCCTGATCCTGCGGCTGCTCCTGTTTCCCTTCTCGCTTTCGCTACTGGGAGGGTCCAGGCTGACTCACACTCCCTCCTGCCCAGCCTCACCTCTCTAATCTACTCACACTTTCTCCGTCACGTTGAATTTTTACTCTGTTTACGTGTTTATTATATCAGCAAATGCAATGGCATAAGCCAGGGCTATCTGGAAAGAAGCTGAGTGTAAATAAGGAACAATTGCCGGTATAATGCAACAACAGGGGGCTCTCAGGCCCCTGCAGCTGGTATATTTAAATGAACAGTAGGTTGAATTGAAGGGGGAGAAAGGGCTGTCTCTATAGTTCATCGTAAAATCAACTCTAGTAAATAGCATGAAAGGGCCACTGGGCCACTGAGAGGGAAGGGCCGCCCGGCCTGAAGTTCACCTGGAGAGCCATCGGGGAGGTGGTTAGCAAACACTCGCTTTAAAGCAGTTGGTGCCAAGGGGCTCAGCACCCGGCATGTCAGAAGCCCCTCACTTAGTGTGGGCACGACACGGCGGGGTGAGGCTCCAAGGCCCACCGCCCATCCACAGGGAGTTCAGGGCTCTGGGCTGAGGCCTCTGGAAGGCTGGGGGGCAGGGACGTCTCCTGCTGGCTCTTCGCTGAGCCCCATACACCACCCCCCGCCCATGCTGGCAGCCTGCCGCTGCCCTCCCAGGGCTGTGTGGCTGAGGCCCAGGTCTGTCTTGGAGAAGAAGTTGGGCTCTGCAGTCGGGAGGCCTTCGTGCCTGGGGTGAGCCTCTTACCTCCCCATCTCAGAAAAACGGGGACGAGGAAACCTCGCTGGTGCTGGCGCCGCGGGGGCATCAGCTGAGCTTGAGGAGCCCTGGCCCCTCCCTGGCAGCCCCCACCTGGGGCAAGGAAGGGCTGGGCTCACCTGACTTCCAGGTGGGGCAGGTGTGTGCTGGCCACCGAGCACCTAGCCCACCTTTCTTCATGGGCCTTCTAACTCCCACACACCTCCCACCCCCAGCCTCCTACCCTGGGCAGACATGGGGGGCGGGGTCAGGAAAGGGCCCACCAGGCCACCTCGGAGGCCCCCCACTTGGCTGGGCATACAGCAGGTGCCACTTAAGTGCTTGCCGATGTGCGGAAGCCCAGCCCTCCAGGACCGCCCTCACTGCCCTGCGCACACTGGTGGTGTGCGCCCCCACGTGGGTGCACACCCCTACCTTTCAGCAGGAGCCGGAACTCCTTCAGCAGCACCTCAGGCGGGATGAGGGGGCCTGGAGGGCCTTGCGGTCCAGGGGGTCCGGGGGGTCCCGGCAAGCCAAGCTGAAAGGGAACCGCTGGGGTGAGGGGCCTGAGGAGGGAGGCTGGAAACTGCAGGCCCCCACTGAGACCAGGTGAGGAGTCCCTGCCCAGGCCAGGCCCACAGAGGGAGGGACCAGACTGTCAGACAGCAGGGATAGCAGCTGCGGGGCGGGGGGGGGGGGCATGCCCCCGCCGGAAATCACCCCGTCTGTCACCCCAGCTGCCTGGAGGCCCCTCTGACTTGTTCCTCAGACGGATGGCCAGCTCCTTGACTGCTGGACCAGCCAGATGGGGAGTGGGGTGGGGGGAGACAGGGAGGGAGCCGCTGGGGCTGCCTGGCATTCTAGGGGGCGGGATAAGTGGTTGGGACCTGGCCTCAAACTCAGGGTTCCCCTGGGCCCTGGCTGGGCACTACTCCATGGCCCCCGAGTCCAGGCAGAGTCGTGCAGGTCTGTGCTGGGTGGAGAGGGTCAGGGTGGACTGTGGGAGTCAGCCGCATGGGGAAGGCCCGTGGCAGAAGTCCCCCTCACATGCACGTTCACACTCACTCACTGGCACACACACTCACATACTCCACACATATACGCTCACTTGCACACACACACTCATACACACACACGCTCCAAACATACACATGCACACACACACTCGCTCTCATACACTTACACATTCAAACACACAATACACACACACTCAAACATACACACTCCACACATATGCACACATACAAGCACACACTAACACACTCATACACATTTTAACTCACTTGCACACACACACACATTCCAACACACACACTCTCCCATACACTCACGTCCACACTCACTCCCATACACACACTCTCACGCCCACACACACTCCCATACACACACTCTCACACCCACACACTCATGCCCACACTCACACACTCTCCCATACACTCACACACACACACACACACACCCGCTCTCACTCACACACCAGTCAGACACACACGCTCTCACACACACGTGCCCTCACATGGTGTGCCAGCAGGGACTCGCTTCACCTTCAGCCTCTTGGCCTTGCCCCTGCTCTTCCTCTTGCTGTTGATGCCCTTGTCACTCTGCCGGACGAAAAGCATCCAGGTGTCCCGGGGGTCGATGCCGTGCGCCCGCTCGGTGAGGGGGTCCTGGAACACAGCCAGCCCAAGGTTGACCCGCCCCACCGGCGCCAAGCAGGACTGGAGGCTTTGCTCACAGTGATTTTGTGAGGGCCTGGCCTGCAGGCCCTTGGGGCCCCACAAGGAAGGCCCCTGTCCTTGTCCAGGGGCGTGCCAGAGGCCCTCAAAAGCAGCAACCCCACACCCCAGCCCCTCTCCTCCCAGCACACAGAGGCCGAGCCCTGGGAGCAGCTGCCCACGCCTAGACTTTGCATGGTGGGGGAACACAACACAGGGTGTGGGCCGGGTGGCAGGTGGGAGTCCCAGCCCCACGGGGGCACCAGGCCCCCTGCAGCCTCGTTTCCTCAACACGAGCTGAGGTGAAAACACCTCTCGAAGACCCCTGGGTGGGCTGAAGCACCGCATGTGCCCCGAAAGAGGTGACCCGCTTCCAGCAGGCTGGCCTGTCTGCCCTGTGGACAGGAGTTCCTGGGAGGCCGACTTCAGCCTCAGGGCCACTGTGGACTCCAGTGCAGGACGGGCGGGGACTGGACGGCCCAGCACGGACGGGGTGTGGCTCGAGGTCTCTGCTCAGGACTGGTGCTGCTCACATTCCTAGGGCTCCTGAGCCACTTGGCCACGGCAAGGACATGATGGTTCCAGAAGCATCTATCCCCTGCATGCCCCCATCCTGTGACTCAGGAAAGTTCTGGGAGAGGCGCCCGGCTTGCTGGGCAGTGGCCCGGGACGGTCTGGGCTCCAGGCGGAGCTACCAGCTGGGAAGGAGTTGGGCTCAAGAGGGCTTAACGAGGTCATGGGCGCCAGCTCCAGGGGAAGGACGGAACGGGACTTTGGAGCTGGCCAGGACCTTCTGTGAGAGACAGATCCGGCCACCAGGTGCTGCCCACGGTCCTTTGGGAGCTTGCCGATGAACGCAGGGCTCAGTGAAGATAGCAGCTTCAGCGTCAGAGGAACTGGGTTCAAATCTGGCCTGGCAGGAGCTGAGGTGACCAGGGCAGCCAGTGTTGAATGGAGAAAGGCCTTTATGTGCCCAGGACCCTCCATCCTGCGTGCAGTGTGACCACGCAGCACCTCGCTCTGAGCTTCTCATTGGGCAGTCCGCTCTGAGCAGCACCACCCTGCTGGTCGATCCATGGATGCTGGGACCCCGTGAGTTCACTCCGGCCACACTGAGGTCTGGGGGATGCACTGGGAGCCCAGGCTTGCCGGGAGAGCAGAAGTAGGTGGAGCCCCGCCCGCAGGGGCCCAGAGATGGGCCTGTGAGTTCACCCGAGTGAACATGAGTCTGGGCAGCAGAGTTCCCCAGCCGCCTGGGGGCGCTCGCAGAAAAGCACCTCAGAGCCTGGGGAATCAGCAGTCCTGGTGCTTTCTTGGCCCCAAAAAGGGTCCAAGGCTGAAACTCCACCTGGAAGCACCCCAGGCCCCTCTCAGTGTCCCAGGGCCTGGGGTGCTTGTTGGTGACAGAGCCCCCTCACCTGGCCACCCTGCCCACTGGGAGCGCTCCCAGAGGCTGCCAGCTGTCTGGGTGGGGTCTGCCTTCGGTCTATGGGGAAGTGGGGGGGGGTGCGTGGGGCAGGGTAACCTCATGATCATTTAGGGGACCCTGTTGAGGGAGTGCAGGGCTGGCTGTCAGCCTGCCCCACCCCCACAGCGGATGTGTGCCCGTCATCCATGATTTTCAGTGGGATGCTGAGACTAGAGGTATCTTCAGCATAAGCGAGACCCAAACAACCACCCCGGCTCCGGCCCTCCCCAGCCCACCCCAGCCCTGGTCAGAGTTTCAGGGGCCCCCACCCTGAGTAGGAAGGCACTAAGAATCACCCTTCAGAGCCACTTGAAGAAAAGCTACTGCTATTCCCTGGCTGCACACCCCCTGCCCTCCCCCTAGACCCACAGGGACCCCCACCCAACAGATTGGGGTCAGTAATGTGCTCACAAGGAGCCCTGGTGATGCAGTGGTTAAAGCGCTGGCTGCTAACTGGAAGGTCAGCGGTTCCAACCCACCAGCCGCTCGCGGGGAGATGGTTGTGGCAGACTGTTTCGGTAATGATTACAGCCTGGGAAACCTTGTGGAGCAGTTCTGCTCTGTCCTATATGGTCACAGTGAGTTGGAATCGACTCCACGGCAACGGGTTTGGTTTGAATGTGCTCACACTTTCCCAAGTGCCTTCTTCCTAATTTCGTGACAGCCACGTTATTTACACATTATTTCCCAACGTACTTCTGTCTCAAAAGAAATGGGGTTTTCACTGGCCCTAGGAGAGCTCTGCTTTAATGCTGAAGAACTACCCAAAGAGCCAAGGTCTAGACCGCCCTTTGGGGTGACCACCCCTGCTCCCCGCGCAGAGGAGCGTCTATGCCGACTCTACCTCTCACCAGAGCTGAAGCTAGGCGCTCTTCTCCCAGTTGTGGAATTGAGGTCCCGCCCGCGAGGCCGTGCTTCCCAGCCCGGAAAGCAAGCGCCCTGCCCCCTCTCCGGTGGGGAAACTGAGGCCCAGAGGGGCCCGCGTCTCCCGGAGCGCTCGGGCCGGGCAGGCTATCCGGGCGTCCGCGGGTGTGTCCGAGCGCGGGACGCAGCATCTTACCGGCCGCACGCGGCTGTCGCCGGGGCCCGCAGGCAGCTCATTCCCCGGCGGCGGCTTCTGGGGGGCGGGCGAGCCGGGCTGCGGGGACTGGAGGCCCGCGGCAGCGGCGACAGCGACCAGGAGGCCCGCGCACACGAGCAGCGGCCGCGCTCCGGCGGGTTGGCGGCCCGGGGCCATGCGGGCGGCGGCGTCCCCTCGGCGTTCCCAGCGGCTGGCCCGGCTCGGGGCGTCTCCCAGTCCCGCCGGCGTCGCGCCTTATAACGGGCTGGCACCCCCGCGCCCCGCTGCTCCCCCGCCCGGCCCGGCCGCGCGCTGCAGGGGGAGGAGCGCGGGGAGGTGGCGGGCTAGCGGATAAAGGGGGCGCAGGGGAGGGAGATGGGGCGCGGGGAGCGCACGCTAGCTGCAGATCAGTGTTGCGCGCGAATCCCCTCCATACCAGCCACAGGCCCCTACCCAGCGCGCTGTCGAGCGCTTCTGCTTGGCGGGGAGCTGGGGCGCCCCCCTCCTGTCCCCGGGGTGTCCCTCCCCCTTCTGTGTCCTGCGGGTCCTCTGAGGGTCCCAGAGGCGACTCCCATCCTCCTGGCCGCGCTCCTCGAGGCCCAGGCCTGACACAGGTCGAGCGCGCAGGAACAGGGAGGAACCCAGTATCCATCCTCGTCACCCTTTTCCCAAGCGTAGTTCCCTCCCTTCCGGCGCTGCCTCCTCACGGATAGCTGGGGCGCCCTGAGTGCGGAGGTGGGGGATACGCTGTCCTTAACCTGGGCTCATTTGCAGGAGTGGGGGTGCACGGAGTCTGTCGGTAACCCTGGCAGCCACCCCACAGTGCTGGGGGCGGACCAGGCCCTGGCGGGGCAGACTGGCCACCATCGGGCCGTGTAGGGCAAAGCTGGCCAGGAACCAGGCTGCCAGCTGCCCACCGGGGCCGGTGCAGGGCGCCCCACTCCTGCCCTGGGAAGGTGCAGGACCCCACAGGCCACAGAGAGTCCTCCAGATGCCCCTCCGTGTAAAGAGCCAGCTCCCTGACCTGAGCCCAGGCCGTGCCTGATTTGTACCCTCTGCCTCCCTGTCTTCTCTGCTGGAAAGGAAGTGCTACACAAGTAGGTAGTGGCGAGCTCTCTGTGCCCTTCCCTGGAGCTGCCTGCATCCCGTGGGAACAGTAAATCTTGTCAAAGAATGGGTGACCACAGCTGGAGAAATGCAACTTCCAAATGTCTACCACCAGTGTTGCAAAGCAATGATTTTCCAAAGATGCTATAGATGGATCCTGATCAAAACGGGGAGAAATGTGGAACAAAATTTAAAATTCTTATGGAATCCAGACTTCCTGGTGTGATTGAGGCTGAATGAACTCCAGAATCTATTGCCCTGAGATAATCTTTATTTCTTTTTTTGTGCTCAAACAATTTTCCTTTCCTTTTTTTTAACCTGTGACATAATTTGCTTACCTATTTCTAGTTATCTGTTTTACTTTATATATATATATTTTATTGTGCTTTAGATTACGGTTTACAGAACAAATAGTTTCTCATTAAACAGTCAGTACACATACCGTTTTATGACATTGGTTAACTACCCCACGACATGTCAACGCTCTCCCTTCTCGACCTTGGAGGACTTTTCTTTCTTTTTTTTTTTTTGGTGAAAATATACATAGCCAAAGTTATATCATTTCAAAAGTTTTGACATGTACAATTCAGTGACATCGATTACATTCTTCCAGTTGTGCTGCTATTCTCACTATCCTTTTCCAAATTATTTCATCACTATTGCGTGAGATAATCTTTAAACCTTAAACCAAAAATATTCCCGGAAGTCTTCTTTAAACCAAACAGTAGTTGAGCTCAATTAGTAAAGCGTGTCTGCCTTGAGCATTGTGCTCTTCTAAAGAACTACCTATATGGGATCAAACTGACAATAGCAACTAGAAAGGTTAGACAGGATACTTAGGGAGCAGTTAGTTTATGTTAATGCGGGAGGAACAACTCGGAAAAGGAGGGTGAGAATGGTTGCACAGCTTTAAGAATGTAATCAGTGTCACTGAATTGTACACATGGGAGTTTGTTGAAGTGGTATAGTTCTGCTGTGTATATTCTCAACAACAACAAAAATAAAATATATCTATATAAAAAGGCCATGATTTTCATCCCTTCTAAGGAAGCCGTGTGGGGAAAGGAGGCCTCCGGCCATGACTCCCAGAGTGGACTCAGAGGACTGAAGAGAAGGGGCTGCTGCTCCTCGGCTGGGGAGGAGGGGCCCAGGTGCATCCTCCGTGGAAAAGCCCCTCCTGGCCCTGGCTTTGGAGGACACATTCGGGGCCTTTAGGCACTCACCTGATGGGACACAGGTTGCTTAGAGCAGTGGAAGGGGCGAAAACAGGAAATATTTTACACTTTAGAGAAAGCATGGTATCCATGTTAACTATTCTTTGTGAGTCCTCTTCTTTCCCGGTAGGACGCTGCTGCAGTCTGGGGAAGGGGGGCGGTTTTAAAGGAAAAAAAATATCCTGACGGCTCTGAGAATTCCCCCTTCCCAGGGGTCAGTGTGTCCCGTAGACTTCTTCCATGGAGATGTCTTTCAATGGCAAATTATGACTGCAAAAGAGAAGTTCTATCTTTATAACCTGGTTTAATTTTTCTTGTTTTTAATTTATCAATGAAATGAAAAAAAAAAGGTAAAATTCCTATAGACAGTGCAGATGCCCAAGAACACGCCTGAGAAACCCTGGCTTACATAATACACACTCAACAAAGTATTTGCACTTATTTTTTCGAGCAAACACTCAGCAGCTTCGTCACAAATAAGGATACCAAAAAAACCCAACCTGTTGCCGTGAAGTCCATTCTGACTCGTTGCAACACTATAGGACAGAGCAGAACTGCCCTACGAGGTTTTCAAGGAGCGGCTGGTGGATTTGAACTGCCAACCTTTTGGTTCGTAGCTGAGCTCTTAACCACTGCGCCACCAGGGCTCCACCAATAAGGATGTTCAGTCTCAAATGCAGGCATACCGTGAGGGTGGTTGTAAAGGAGAATGGAGGATTTCTCGGGGGGCTTCCCTTTTTGATCGGACGAGGGACATCTTGTACGAAGCTTGGGGTAGGGAACTTTGTCGTGACCTTGTTCTGTGTGCTGGGTGTGGGCTTCAGGGTTAAGCATTTCTGGAAATGTGGTTCAGTTTCATTATTTGGGAACTTTATCTGTGGACCACACGGCACCGAGCAGGATTGTCCTCTGTTGCTGAAACCTGCCACTTGGCTGGCAGAGAGGGCCTTCCTGTCCTCAGGGGAGGAAGCTCTGCGAACGCAGCCTTCCCGTGTCTGCAAAGGCACACCACCACTCGCCCGGGGACACACAGCCAGGGCGGCAGAGCCGGGCTCACCGCCAGGTCAGGCCGTCTTGCCCATGTGGCACAGTCATATCTTCACAACCACACGTTTTGCTCACTTGGGCACTTCCTATTCTGGTTGTTATTGTTGACTTGGCCCCGGGCTCACGGCAACCCCACACTCAACTGAACAAAACTCCATCCCAGTCATCAGTCGTGGATCAGTCTGTTGCGATCCACGGGGTTTTCATTGGCTGAGTTTCAGAACTAGATCACCAGCCCTTTCTTCCTAGTCTGTCTTAGTCTAGAAGCTCCACCGAAACCTGTTCAGCATCATAGCAACGTGCACGGCTCTACTGATGGACGTGGTGGCTGAACTCGAGGTGCACTGGCCAGAGACTGAGCCCAGGTCTCCTGCATGGAAAGTGGGAATTCTACCACTGAACCCCCACGGCCCCTCCTTCCTGTGCTAAACCAAAACCAAACCCGTTGCCGTTGAGTCAATTCTCAGAGAGACCCTATAGGACAGAGTAGAACTGCCCTATACAGTTTCCAAGGAGCACCTGGTGGATTCAAACTGCCGACCTCTTGGTTAGCAGCACGTAGCTCTTAACCACTATGCCACCAGGGTTTCCCTTCCTGCTCTAGTTGGTGCTAAATATAAGCTATGACGTGATGAGCTTGAAAGTAACAGAGGTGCTTCTATAAAGGAAATTCGGCCCTGACTCTTCCCTAAGCCAGACGCGCTTCCTGCAGGTGTGGGCTCCTTTCCGGGAGTCCGGCGGGGGCATGCCCAGGACGAGTGTGGGGCTGGGGGGGAAGCCTGGGGAAGCAGGTGTGGCTGGCCACTCTGGAAGCCTGGGGAAGGCCACTGGGCAGGCCAACGTGGGCAGAAGGAAGGGGCTCAGCCTTGGAGCTGCGGCCAGGCCCACCAGCGGTGGCCTGCTTGTCCCAGGGCTTCTCGGGGGCCTTGTTTCTCTCTCCAGTGAGCTGGGGTTAAAGCACCTGTGCCCTTGGGGTCTGAGCAGTGAGGGTCCTGCTAGGCCTCCGGCACCACGTGACGGGGAGACACCCACCGGCCTGCATGACCACGGACCTCCCGGGCCTCAGAGGCCAGGACAGACCCCACAGTGGGCTTGCTCAGCAAACCCTGTCCCCTCGTGGCCATCGGGGGTAAAAGTTGCCTGTGGCTTTGGAGGACAGTGCATCTGGGGCCTTTAGGCGCTTACCCTTCTGAGCCTCAGTTTGCTAGTCTGTAGAGTGGGCATAATAACAGCATTTGGCCTGAGCCCTCCTTGCCGCTCTGGTCTCTGGCTCACAGAGGAGGTGTGAGCAGGCTAGGCCAGGAGGAAGGTGGCCTGGGATGCTCATCCCCGCGTGGACCAGGCTGCTGCGTGGGCTGCTTCTGGGTCACTGAGCTGGATTCTGCCTACAGGGGCGTGGGGCACAGTGCCTTCAGGGCCGGAGGCTGTCTGCCCAACCTGTTGCCACGGGAAGGTGAGGCTCAGGCTCTGTTGCCTTTGATAACACGAGGGAGGGCACATGACGGATTGGGGGGCCTGATTTGGGGAGCATGATCCCTAAGCTGCGAGTGTGCCGTCACTTCTGTCTCACAGTGGGTGCTGTTGGCCACGTGAGGCCAGCGTGGAGGACGGGCACCGTTGCCATGTGAGAAACAGTTATTTTCCCAAACAGTGAACAATCCAGTGATGTCATGGGTCCCGCCTGCCCGAGGGCCCAAATCAAATCAGTTCTGGTCCTGGTGCGTCCCTTGTAACACTGTCTCGAGGTGACAACACAGGGGCCGGGGCAGGCCGGTGGGGGGCTGTGGGCACGGTGGGTCACGTTTCAAA